GGACGGCTTTGTCAAACTTTTGATAAAACACCACCGGAGCTGGTCGAGGCAGAATTGAGGCTTCGCTACATGTGCCATTGACACCCCAACCACAAAGTCTCTCTCTTGATTTCATGCTGACCTCAAATTTAGGAAGAAACTAGAAAACAGGATGAACTGCACTTTATTTGTTCTACAATTCGTTTATAAGACATGGAACAAAGAGAGCCATGAAATCTGACAAGTTCTACCATTCCTAAGCTTACGAAGGAATAATTCTTTCGCCTCTCTTCAAAGGTTCTGTTTTTTTCTGTTTCATGTATTACAGTGAACCGAGTGAGGGATGACGAGCCAATCCAAAACCTGTAAAGAAAATCGTTACAATATGCTCTTCCTAAGCCTGCTGCCTAAACTCATGGTCTCACCCGGGAGTCACTTCAGTGATGACTTCCGCTCTGATCGATGACTTTTCGGGCGTTGTGCTCGCTGATAGTCAACTGGCGCTAGTGGGCGCAGAATCGAAATTAACAGTGCTCAAGGAACACTGCCTATAATTCACAAAGAAAATGGACAAGTCAAATTAATCGCCTATTCTACATGTCACCGAGCTAATGCCTCATCCGTACAGAGTATAGCATCACTGGCTGGTTCCCGTAAGAGGGGTACTTGGTCGCTGGGGGGGGGGTTCATGAGGGCCGTAGAGTGGAGTTGTCAATGGATTTCTCATCAGACGGGGGGTGGGTGTCGGCTATGTACGACAGCGAGCGGTGCCGCCAGGTCGGCCTGCGGTAGACGAAGGCGAAGGTTCCACTGCCACGCATCGACCCTTGCGCTTACTGACATTGCCTCAGTAGCGGGCTGATTTCTGCGATGCGTTTTGCTGTATTTTGGTTGTACTCAGCTTGGGGAAGCTGAAATTATACTTTTTTCGACTTCAATTCGGAAAGGTGAGTATGTTTACTAAAACTAGATTACATTTTGCATGGTTTTAGCATGAATTTCTCTTGGAAAATTGTTTTTTTCTTCCTATTTTCGCATTTTTTTGACTTCTCTTGAATGTCTCCGTTTAACTTCGATGTCGACTGAAAGCATGCAAAATGAAACCTAGCTCCAGTAAAACACACCGACCTATCCTTATTGAAGCCGTATGAGGAATAATTTCAGCTTTTTGAAGCTGAAAGCTGTAGAAGACGGTTTGATGGGCGTACAGCCAATATCTATCGCGACGGGTCGGACCGCTTGCCATCGCGGACCTAGGGCTGCCCCATCGTCAGATAAGAAATCTACTGTATTTCCCATTGAAAGAGCCGCAGAACTACCACTTAATTACTATTACCAAAGTTTCAATAGTAGTTCACATGACTAGTATCACAAAGGATAAGATACCGCCAGAGACGGAAAGTCAATACGTATTCAAGGCGCATTCACTTGACAATTTTTATCATCTTTTCTAAATATATAAATATATGTATAAATTATCAACCTCACATATGAACACCTTTGCAGGCGAATTCTACAAAAAGAGACAATAATTACAATATGTTTCGATCAAATTGAATAGAATTTCGTCGCCGGTTCACAAAGAGGTCGACGTCATGTGCCTATGAATTCTTCTGAGGGACTTTGATCGTTACTGTCTTCACTTCCGTGTAAGCCTCGAGAGCATACTCGCCAAGTTCACGTCCAATACCTGAAGAAAGATTCACTGACTGATAATAGAAAGACGATGAATGGACCGATCCGCAGAATAAACTAGAAAAACGTTACCGATAAACAGTGATACCGATCGGCGGTGAGAGGTTGGAGACTACGTTCAGACTCTGCGATGACGACGGATGACGCTCTTTTGCAATGGCGCTTCAATGCTATGAACAGGTTCGCAGCCAGACGGGTATCGATCGGCGCCGATCGCTGGTGTTTTAGCATAGCATAGGAGAATAGGAGAGGTACCGACGATGGGTGAAAACCTAAAATCAGCAGCTAGCTGTTCTGCCGACCGCACTGCAGACCTTTCGGCGCACTATTATGGAGGGGCGGGGCATTGGCTTCCAATTTGCGCTTCCTAGTCCCTTCAACTAGGTCACGTTGATTAGCAGCTCTCATTTTGCCGAGACTTGTAAACTCTTGTGAAGCTGCGAACCGGCACAAGTGAAAAACTGTGGTTGCAAGAATCAACAGGTTTTACAGGGTGGCTTAAACAAGGTTCGCTGAGGACCATTTCGGTGCCCCACCGAGCTGAATTGCGCCGACCTTTCTATTTCATGACGTCTAGTCTGCACCGTCCTACTATCCTATGTTCTCTCAAAAAGCTAGCTGCCGACGGTGATCGATATACGCCTATGGCTGCGTTTCCGTCATTAGCAATGGGACGTAATTGGAGAAGTAGCGCGCGCCATCGCAAAGTTTGAACGCAGCCGTGGTGTGTTTCCAACCCTCTCAACGTGTTCTGATGTTACGGTTATCATGCTATTGCAATATGACTTACCTGATTGATTGTATCCACCAAACGGAGCAGCTGCATCAAACACATCAAAGCAGTTCACCCTGAAATGCTGAAAGTTCTCAAAAGGAACCAGAAATGGAGATTGCTCCCTCCTGATGTCAAATAATTAGTGAATCAGGTGAATTAGCTAACCCTAAGCAAAAGTGTATTTGGGACTCATATGATGTGTCTCAAAGAAGGGCGAAAATTTGCATGAGTCAAGGATACCAACACGTATTCTCGGTCCTTCGAAACAGTGCGTCTATCCACTACACCGACCGCACGGCACAGTCAGTTATCCTTCCGATCTTGTGCGAAGTGCGAATAGGGCAGAGAATAAATGGTCCGTAACTCCCTTCAGAGAATCGTTCCGCAAATTCCGAGGGCAGATTTGGATTCAGCGGCTCAAGACACGTCCATATATATACATCTCATTGCAAATGGCCGGATCGACCTGTTGGGGTTCCCTTGTTAGTGAACGCTGTGATTCTTCTGCGGAGCTATACCTCGGC